TATGTATGTATGTATGTATGTATGTATGTATGTATGTATTTATGTATGTATGTATGTATGTATGTATTAAATTAGACTTACTAGGCCGCCCTTCCCTGGAGTGGCCTCAGGGCGGCTTACAACAAAATAATATACAGATCTCAATTTAAAACAGAATTAAAATAATCCGGCCATTCCCAGTAAATAAAAACACATTTTACCTTCGGTATATAACTTGGCGGGACAGAAGCCCCCCTCCCCCCGCCTGCCTGCCTGCCTGGGGGGAGGGTTTGGAGGGATGGAGAAATGATCTACAGGTGCCAGAGAAGCCCTGTCGCTGTCCTCAGCTGAAGGCCCGGCGGAACAGCTCTGCCTTGCGTGCCCCGTTCCCGCAGGGCACGGAGGTCTTCCGGCAGAGCGTTCCACCAGGCGGGGGCCAGGACTGAAAAGGCCCTGGCCAAGGGCAGCCGGGGACCGCCGGAAGCTTTTATTCCCTGAGCGTGACGCTCTCCCAGGGGTATACTGGGAGAGGCGGTCCTGAAGATATGCAGGTCCCAGACTGCTAAGGGCCTTAAAGGTCAAAACCAGAACCTTGAACCTGATCTGCTGCTCCACTGGAAGCCAGTGCACCTCGCGCAGCACTGGTTGTATGTGTGCTGCCCGAGGGATCCCTGTAAGGACCCGTGCAGCTGCATTTTGGACCAGCTGGCGCTTCTGAGTCAGGCGCAAGGGCAGGCCCACGTAGAGCAAATTACAGTAGTCCAGCCTGGAGGTGACCATTGCGTGGATAACTGTGGCTAGGTCGGGGCGAGGCAGGGAAGGGGCCAGCTGCCTGACCTGGTTGAGTTGGAAAAACGCCTGGCTGGCAACCTTCGCCGCCTGGGCTTCCATTGATAGGGAAGAGTCCAAAGTCACGCCCAGGCTCCTGACGGTCTGTGCCGGTGACAGGGGCACACCCTCAAGAGATGGGAGCTGGCGACCGGAACGAGGCCCTCCCCCGCCCAGCCACAGAGCCTCCGTCTTTCCCGGATTCGGTTTCAGCTGGCTCTGCTTTAGCCATTTCACCACAGCCTCCAAACCCTCCGCTAGATTCCCGGGAACAGTACCTGGTTGGTCACCCGTCAGCAGAAATACCTGGGTGTCATCAGGGTTGCAGCGGCAGGGCAGCAGTTTGTTTGGGAACCACCAGCCCTTGGTCCAGCAGGCAGCTGGGACTTGGGACTTGGAGAGCAGCTGCTTTGTGGCAGAGCCCCGGTGGGCACGAGAGAGCGGCAGGGGAATGTGTGGAAAGCTGGCAGACTAAGAATCATAGAGTTGGAAGGGACCGCCAGGGTCATCTAGTCCAACCCCCTGCACAATGCAGGAAATTCACAAATACCTCCCCCCCCACACACACACACCCAGTGACCCCTACCCCATTCCCAGAAGACGGCAAAAAACCTCCTTCTCCCCGACCCAAAAGTGGCAATGGGCATTTCCCCAGGCATGTAAGAAAGGGCTGCGAGAGCTAAGCACTGAGGCAACCCTTCCTGCCCTCCCTCTCATGATTTGCCCAGGTTCACAGGATCAGCATGGCTGCCAGACTTGTGCCCCCTAGACCTCAGACAGGCTCGCCGGTGTCTGCTTGAGTGGAAGGTTACACTCTGCACATATTAGATGCACTCTTTTATACCTTCTGGTGCAGAGCAAGGCCTGGCTGAGGTTAAACTGGGGGACTCTGGGGAGGAGGGGGCTTACCAGTCTGGGAGGGCGGCGAAAGCCTTGACACCCCTGTTGCAGCGACCCGAACCTGAGCCAGGGCAGAGGAGTCCGCCACATCTTGTCTCCAGCTGTGTTTCGTGACCTATTTGGTGTCGTGGTTAAGTTTGGTGCAGTGGTTAAGTGCGCGGACTCTAATCTGGGAGAGCCGGGTTTGATTCCCCACTCCTCCACATGCACCTGGCTGGATGGCCTCGGGCAAGCCATAGTCCTGGCACAGCCATTCTTGAAAAAGAGCAGTTTCTGTCAAGAGCCCTCTCCGCGCTGCCTACCTCACAGGGTGTCTGTTGTGGGGAGGGAAAAGGAGTTTGTAAGCCGCTCTGAGAGACCTTTGGGTAGTGAAGGGCCATGGGGTATAAATCCAATCTCTTATTATTATTATTTTATTTATTGGTTTATTTAGGGAGTACAATTTCATCCCACCCTTCTTCCTCCAGGGAGCTCGGGGTTCATG